GCTGGCCCAAAGCCCCGTGCGCGTGGTGCGATCCTGCCCGCGAGCCTTCGGCGGCTGCGGACGACCGGCTTGTCACCCCCCGCCCTTTGCGGGACAGCCTTCTTAGCAGGCGCCCCTTCCCTGGCGCGAAAAATAACAGCGTTGCCCTGCCCTGCCGCCGCCGCCCCTCAGCTCTCCGCCCCTCGTCCCGTTTGGGCCAGCGGCCGTGGGGCAGAGGGAGGCAGGCGGGCAGGGCGGCCGTTGCCGGGTGGTTAAAAGGTGGGCAGCGGGCGCTCCGGTCGGGCAAGACGCTTCCTGGGGCTTCAGCGAGTGGACCGCGGGCTTTGGAGGTATGAGGTCGTGCGCTCGGAGTTCCGGGGTCTCCGGGCCAGTCCAGGCGGCGTTAACCCTCAAGCAGAGATTTCCGCAGGTTTGTGTCGCTTCTGTAAGTGATGCCCGCGTGCCTTAATACGGCGTGGACACAGCCTCGAAGATGTCGCTGACTGCTGCACACCGACAAAAGTGTATCTCGAGGCCGCAGAACCATAAACTGTCACAGGCAGTGCTCGGTTCTACATGCGTGATGTTTCCTAGACCGATGCGCTTTCCCGCTAGGAGTTGTGACCTCTTTGGAGTAGGCTAAAGGCAAGCACCTTTCCCCTCCCCGTGTTAGTTTGCTAGTGTTATTCTGCTTAATTTCATGAGGTTCTAAATAACCTTTTTTTCACTCGGTCGAAATTATATGTAGTTCTCGCCTTGTCTTCTGTATTAAGAGGAGTGTACTTCAAACGTGGTTACGGCTGAACTATGGTTAGCCCAGGCAGTTAGTTTTCTTCTGCTATAGCCTTCCTCTGAGTGAATAAATATTTTTTAAAATGGGGGGTGGAAATAGTGGATCTAAGTAGCTCGGTGGCTGAAGTTTTATTCCACAACTGTAAGGTTTAAATAAGTTTTTCCTAAGGCTGCTCTTCTTTCCAAAATGGAAAGTTATTTGGATTTGTGGGTTAGTACGGTTGCAAGTGGGAGAAGCCTTTTGCTTGCTTGGGCTACACAGCACAGAAAAACCCATGACTTTTTGCTAGTTTGTACAAAAGATGCCGCCTGTTTCATTCAGCAACTGCTGAATGAATTTCGATCTGGTGTATGTCCTGAAGGATTTTAAACATGATAAAAGGTTTTGCACATTAGGGTAAGCCCCAATATAGTTGGTTTGTTTTTAGCTTAGTGTATTGCATGGATCCAGTTATTGTGGCTTGTAAGCCATAAATTATGGCTTAGCAGAATTTAAGAATTTGGCCAAGTATGGTTTATTCAGCAAGCCACAGTTAAAAGAAACCATGGCTTTGTATAATGTGTGAATCCAGCCAGTGAGTAGAATATCTGGCAATGACAGAATAATTGTGACTCTATTTAAACTTATTTTTAGTGTTAAGATTTGTGTTCTTGTGCAGACTTTCGAAGACTATAGCTACCATTTTTTTAAAATTGCCCTATCTTCTAACAGGATCATGCCTAATTCAGAAGCCTTTGATTTCCACCACTAATAGTGGTCCAGTAACTTCTGAAAAAGCAAAAATTAGTCTGTCAGGTGACACTTTACAGACTACTAGTATGTAGAATGGCCGTCTCTCCATGCTGACTGGAACATACAGTAATTGTGAAATAAAAACTGATAAACTGTTGTAGCCCTAACTTGTTTAGAGTTTAACCTAAAGGATGGCAATGCAGAAAGTATTTACAAGTAGACCTGTCCTTGCCTGTCATTTGTATTATTGGAAAGAAAGGGATTATAAAAACACCTGCTTGGAAAAATTCTAGGTGTGAGGGCTAGATAGGCTGAGTTGCTAGAAGGCTGCTTCCTGTGCCCCTAATAATTTTCTTGAGTGTGAAAATACAAATCTTGCAATGTTAATGTATTTTAAAGACCTGGGATAAAATTCAGTCAATCTAAAGTATACTTAACAATCCTGATCCATCTCCGCCCAAACAGGGGCAACCTGAACCATGTTATTAACCTTTTGATATTAATATTTATATACTTGTTGAAAAGCACTTCATATCAAGCCAAAGTGACAGTCCCCCTGAACCCTGAAGGCCTGGAAGCTCTGCCTTCTAACCCCAGAAGTTAACAGGTTGTGAAAGAATGGCCCTGTGCACAAGGTCAGAGGAGCATCGCCTTTATTTCTTCATACGCTGCAGGATTGAGCTCTGTCTCATACTGAGTCTGCTTGGTCGCAGACATGTAATGTACAGAAATAAGTGAGCCTGATCTATCTAGAGAAGATTTATTTAAACTTCAAATCATCATGTCTGAAAGATGTAGGAAGCTATTATTAAAACTGTTGGTCTTTCTTGGGTGTCATTGTGACGCAGATCTCTGGCTGCTATAGAAAAAGAAACTTGGTCTATACCAGTTGAAAGTCCTTTCTGTAAGTAATTCGTTCTGAAGATTTTGATAGGATAATTATGGGTTCCTAGGGGCCTTCCCTTTCTGTAGATGTGATAGAGATTTATTCAGCTTTGATGGAGATTCTCGTTATTTGTAACAAGCTGGAGTTCTAACGTCATGGAAAAAGGAGAGACACAGAGACCAGCTTAATGCTTTCTTGGAAGCAAGTCCAGTTGGATTGGCTGGGATTGATTTTGTAGAAGTCATATTAAGTCATATCTTGATCATGCTAAATTGGAAATAAGCAGCATTAATTTAAGCAAAGCTTAATCATTATTAGGATTCAGATACAAAAGGCCCAGGAAACTTTTGAGTAAATGTAAATTTACTTGTTTATACACAGCCCTTCCAGTTCTAAAGAAAAAGGAGTATGAACTGACAAAATAACCCTATCTTTGCTTAAAGTTTAGTTAAAACACTACAAATGTTGTACTGTTGTTCCTAGCACTTTTTGTTATTTGCTTGAAATGGTGAAAGTCTGTCTCTGGACATGGAGGTTCTATAAAACCATGACTAATTGTAGTTGATATTCTCTGGCAGAGCAAATTCCCCAGTAGGTAGAGACTGTCTGCAGCAGCTCTTAGTAATAGTTGCCAGAAATGGATCTTCTACTGTGAGAAGCAGTATTTCCTTTGATGCCAGATGCTGGGGATGATTTTGTAATCCTTCCTATAAAAGCATATAAATACCGGTAGAATTTATCAGGGTTACTGAAAGAGAAGATGTAAATAATGGGCAAAGTAGGTTTGGTGTAATGAGTCCGGGATAGTGACCTCATTGCGGTGTTGAATGAAGCTTCCAGGGAGATAAAGCTCAAGGTTCAGAAGAGATCGTCTCATGAAGACAGTGGTTGGGTCACTTTTATTCAGAAAGGGAAAGAGCCAGCGCCCCTGTTCATTCATTCATTCATTCCTTTGATTTATAGGCCACCACATCTAGCAGTCCTTGACAATTCAAAAGGACAACATGAAAACATCCACAACTGGATAAATATAATTGAAGGAATAATATTAAAAACGCAGCAACCCAACCCTGGCAAGATCATACTTAGCATCCCAAAGCCCTGTTAAAGAATTCAGTGTTAACTAGCTTCTCTCAGGCTGTTACTAATGGTGCCAACCTTGCCTCAGTTTAAATGATTAGTTGTGACATACAGTATCTGGGCAACTGTAGATCGGTCTTCCTCCCTTCCATCTCCACCTAATGCATTGGCCATGCTCGCTGGCACTGGAGTTGCAGTCCAGCCCATTTGGACGGCATCTGATTGAGAAGGTTGCCGATAAAAAGATGTTACGTGGATAAAAGTAAGGCAAATATTAAAACTTGGCTGGGCAGGGAGAAACTAGATTAATAAACTCCCAAACATTAAAACTCTGTGTGGTGGTAAGAACACCATGTATCCAGCATGTCCCGTGGTGGAAAGACAGTAGCTAACCAAGATTCCAAACATAAATGTTTAGACAGATGGTTGTAATGAAATATATGCAAAAAAGAGGATGTTTTTAATTGGCTAGCATCCTAGTAAGCTTTTTTTTTTTTAATGTGTTACTACTAATCAAATTGTTGCACAGCTGAGCCCAGTCAAAAAATGGTATCAGGATTTTCAGGAATTGGGGTCCTTGAAGAACACTTTGAATAAGCAAAATGTGTTGCACTCATCTTTATTTGACTGCATCAGGACATCATGAAGATGCCTCGCGTTTCTACTTTTTTTGAAGCAGAACCAGAGAGGAACCTTGCCTCCTTAGATCCACTTAGTTCCTGCTGGCAAATGTGTTGGTTTGATCACTTGTGGCAAGTGCCTGAGGTTGGCATTTGGGGGCAACTGCCAAAGCTGGTTTTGCAGCAGGAGACCCGCTGCCAAACCTGATGCCTCCTGGGGCTTCTTGTTTGCCTCTTCTTTCTGAGCGAGAAAAGAGAAATAAAGCAGTGGTTTTCGGTCTCTGCTTTAGCTCTGTCTCCCTCTGCCTGGTCCGGCATGGAAGAACAAGACAAGTGTCAATGCTTCTCTCTCCTCCCAAAATACTCCGGAACCAGCACATTGGAAATATTTAAATCTCCACTGTACATTCTAGATGTCAGTTTTGTTTAGAGTTGAGAATTTGTGTTTGCTTTAGCCTGAATTCATATTGCCTTACCAAGAAAGTTGACAAACGCTTGTATGTTGTAAAGGTACGTTTAGTGTTGCATTTCTGATTGGAAAGAAGAGGCGTTGTCTGAAGCTGCAAAGCACTGGAAATTTTGTTCTGCCGGCTTCGAGTGATTCAGCTGGCATTTCCAACATCTCAATACAACGATGAGGGCTAGAATCGCAACTTTTCTAATCACAGATTTCTGCTGTGTGTCCTTTGCAGAAAACAGTAAAAATAATGATGGGTTTAAGTTGAGTTCAGAGTTTTCTAGAACTGAGTAATGACAAAGAAGTTCACGGCAGCCCCAGGAACACATGTTGCAGAAAACCCAGGCTTTCTCTGTCAATTACGTAACAGATATTTCATTTATTATTTGCTGGCCCCAAAAGCAGTTTTCAACCCCTTTTGCTCTATGACAGGCATCTTTAAAACGTCCAGAGGAGTATCCAAAGCCTGTACGCATTTTGCAGCTTGAGGTGGCGAAGTAGGCAGAGGCATATAAGCATTTTTCTTCCTCTCCCAGCTCCCAGACCCTGGACAGTGCCAACATGGTGTGCTAGCGGTTCCAACGAGGGCCCTGCTTCCACCATGCCTGTGCAGGCAGCGCAGTGGACGGAGTTCCTGTCCTGCCCGATCTGTTACAATGAGTTTGATGAGAACGTGCACAAGCCCATCAGCCTTGGCTGCTCGCACACCGTCTGCAAGACCTGCCTGAGTAAGCTGCACCGCAAGGCCTGCCCCTTTGACCAGACGGCCATCAACACTGACATCGACGTGCTTCCCGTCAACTTTGCGCTTCTCCAGTTAGTTGGAGCCCAGGTAAGGTTAGAGGCGCTCTGTCCTGTAGGAAGTTGACTTGATGCAAAGACTGAAAAGGGGAGCTCAAGTCTGCAGTTAGCAATCCAACAGGAAAAGAAACGCGCTGCCTTGAGCAAGCGAACTCCACCTGGAACATGGAGAGGAGAATCCAGGCTTAATGGGCTGATAATTGTATGTTGTTCCATCTGGAGGTCAAATCCTCATTCTGAAATGAGGCAGCCTTCCCCAAATCACGTTTCCCCTCCGGCCCCCCATTTTAACCAGCGTGTGCTCATGAGTGCTTCCCCTTGGGGCCCTTCTAGGTGCCTGATCGCCAGACTATCAAGCTAAGCAACCTTGGAGAGAACAAGCACTACGAGGTGGCGAAGAAATGCGTGGAAGACCTGGCACTTTATTTAAAGCCGCTGAGCGGAAGCAAGGGTGAGTTCCTGCTGCCTGAGGGTCAGAGCCTCGCTCCTGCTTCCTCTGGGACAGGGCAGCGTCTCCTGTTCAGCTAAGACGCTTGAATCAGGACCTGCCTGCCTCCCGTTCACCCAGCATCCTGAGCCGTAAGGCGGTTAGTCAGCTGATTAGCGTGCTGCACAAACCCGGCCAGTGGTGGTTCCTTAAGCAAGCCATAGGTAAGAGAATGTGTGACCCAGTCTCTTTGTCTCTCTAGGCCACTGAGCTCCCCTAACTGGCAGCAGCTCTCTGTTGTCTCGCCTAGAGATGGCAGTTCACATCACCTGAGGCTTGTTTCTGTAGTGAGTGTAGAGGACGGCCTTGCAGGACAGAGGGAAGATCCGTTGCCAAGGCCGTGATCAGATCAACGAGGCTTGAGCCCAGACCAAGAAAGTGATTTACAAAAACAACTCAGACAGGCCCCCCTCTTCCCTCCCCCCTCCAAATTCACATGAAGATAAAAGAGGGAGGAAGAGAAGCCCATTCAGACTTGCGAGATTCCATGGGTGTAGGTATTCTAATAAAAGTAGCTTTAGGTCTCCACGGTATCTGTGGAGTTTGGCCTGCCATATAAGGCTGACAGTTTCTGGATATTAAGCCTGGGCCTCAAACCCAGAGTCTGAGCTCTGCTCCTGCATTGTGCTCTTGCTGTAAAAAAGTCCCCCCAAAAGTTCAGCCTGGCTAGCATCCCCATTCAGAAAGCCTGCCAAGCAGAGTCAGCTAGAAATAAAGTCCCTGTGTATTCCAGGTGCGGTTTCTGAGGGAAACGCACGGGAATCCTTGTCTCTTGCACTAACGTGTAATTGCCCTGTTGACCCCCAAAGGTGTGGCTAGCTTAAATCAGAGCACGCTGAGCAGGCCTATGCAACGGAAGCTGGTGACCCTGGTGAATTGTCAGCTGGTGGAAGAAGAGGGCCGCATCAGGGCCATGAGGGCAGCTCGCTCCCTCGGGGAGAGGACCGTCACCGAGCTGATCTTGCAGCACCAGAACCCTCAGCAACTTTCTGCCAACCTCTGGGCTGCTGTTCGGGCCAGGGGGTGCCAGTTCCTCGGGCCGGGTAAGTTGCGGGCGAAGAGGAAGAACGTAACCTTCTCGGGCCTTGTTTAGGGGCGCTGCTCTGCTCTGCTCAGCCTTACACTTTTCTTCATTTATCAGCTGTGAGGAAGGAAGGTTGGGGTGAGAGATGGTTCGAAGTCTTCCCGGCAAGGAAGAGGGCCAGCTAGGTGAGGGGAGAACGATGCTGCCCTGTTTTCCTTCCACTTTCCTGACTGTAACCCCCTCCTTTGGGCTCCCAGCTATGCAGGAGGAAGCCCTGAAGCTGGTGCTGCTTGCCCTGGAGGACGGCTCGGCCCTTTCCCGCAAAGTCCTGGTGCTTTTCGTTGTCCAGAGGCTGGAGCCGAGGTTCCCTCAGGCGTCAAAAACCAGCATCGGCCACGTGGTGCAGCTGCTGTATCGGGCCTCCTGCTTCAAGGTGCGACCTTCGGGTGGCTCCCTTCCCCTTCCTCACAAATGTACATCTGGGCTGCTCGCAGTCAGTCAGGGTTTCCCAAGAACAACTTGTGTAGCCTCGAAGCCCCTGTCCCTGAAAAACGTGCTCTGGATTCCCTCTGTCGCTGAAAGTGATCACAAATGACCCAGAGTTTTTCTCAACATTCACACGGGGAGGTGTTTCATTTTTCTAACCAAGAGGCCTGGAAAGAAGAATTCCATTTCCCCCAGGGCATGGTAGCGCATTTTGCATCTGGCCAATCGTGCTGGAGCAGGACACAGCACGGTGTGTATTTTACACGGCTGCCTCTATAACTGGCTCCTCAAACCGGGGCCGGTGGAGGCCGTTGTCGATCCACTTTGTTGCCTTTCCTCGCGCAGGTCACCAAGAGGGATGAGGACTCCTCTCTGATGCAGCTGAAGGAGGAGTTCCGCAGCTACGAGGCCTTGCGGAGGGAGCACGACGCTCAGATTGTGCACATCGCCCTGGAAGCTGGTCTTCGGATCTCTCCTGAGCAGTGGTCTTCCCTCCTCTATGGCGACTTGGCCCACAAATCCCACATGCAGTCCATCATCGATAAGGTCAGCGCCAGCTTCCAAAGAAGCTGCTTACGCCAAAGCAGATAGGTTCCGCGTCGACGCATCTGCTGATGAAGCTGCATAGGGCAGATTCTGAGCCGGGAGCTGCAGCTTCCCGGCACTGATCTTCCATTTATGCAAACTGAGGATGCGGCTCTTTTTGAAAAAAAGCACTTCTCCTCCACCCTCCGTGCTGCACTTACCTCTGACAAGCAAAACCATTCTGGAGTCCCGAAAGCTTTTAGAAGATTGGATGGGAATGGCAGCTGCTTTTTCTTCCCATGACACAAAGGCCATGCGCAGCTCCAAGGTCATTTTTTATATGCCCTCTCTCCCCCAAAGCCCTCTCCAACCCCAGAAGCTGTAGGCTAAGCCCTGAGGTCGGCGTCATTTTAAAAAATAAACGCCTTCCAAATACCAGGACCCCCCCTCCGAAAATTCTGACCCTGCCCTTATGCGTGACTTTGCATTATCCATCCCACCTGCAGGGGCCCTCCAACTTCTGAAAGTGTTAAGTGTGGCCTCCAGCCAGCCAAAAATGGGTGGAAAGCACGTGTGTCTCTTTCATTCAGCTCCAGTCCCCGGAGTCCTTTGCAAAAAGTGTGCAGGAGTTAACCATTGTGCTGCAGCGAACAGGTGACCCTGCAAACTTGAATAGGCTTCGTCCCCATTTGGAACTTTTGGCTAACATAGATCCAAATCCAGGTATGTAAACGGAGAAAAAATTGAGTCCCAAACACTCATGTTTTGTTCTATCTCCTTTCTGTCCCCTCCCCCTCGAAAAGGAAAAAAAGGGTTGGTTCTTTTCACACGCTATTTTCTAGAATTCATTGTTAAAGGGTTTGTACGTACTTTGGAAAAGCAATTTGCGCTTCTACTATGTAAGACAGTTTACACATGGTGTGCTTTTTCCCTCTGTCGCAACGCACATTCCATGTTGAAAGTTTGTAATGCACGAAGCACGTTGAGGTGGCATACCTAAAAACTGGAAATGGCTAGACCTTTTTTCCTCGCACAGTAACACTTGCCATGTACAGATTAACTGTTCAGCAGCTGAATTATCACGTTGGCCTGGCTGTTAGAGGGAATTGTTTTTGTTGCTCTGTTTAAAGTTCATACTTTACATTTTTGTTTTTTTGAAATACCCCGCTCTTAAGCAGGAGAGGGATTTGTGGCAGCGCAATCACTGTACTGCAGAGCCAGCTTCTCTACCGCTGGCAGATCCAGTTTTCTCCCCAGCTGGTTGGGAAGGAGGGGAGAAATCAGTCGCAGTTGGCCTTCCCCCGTTTCTTGGGCGTGCCATGCTGCAGCTCTCAAGCTGAGGAATAGTATTTTGCTGGCCAAACGCTTTCTAAGACACCAGGGCTTTTCTCCCCACTACAAGTTTTGTGAGAAGTGCTTGTGGCTTGTATATTCTTCTTCCCGTTTGGGTTAGGATTTTAAACGTTGGGTTCCAAGGAGAAAATCAGGAGCAACTTTCATCTCCTTCTGAAATAAGTCTGCTTGGCAAGTTGTTCATGTTTTAGACCTCCCACAAAATGTTTCCTCCATTAGTTATTATCTTTGGGTTATAGAATGGTGTTGCTCACTTTTCCCAGTCTTTCGTCTTACTGGTTGCTGCGTGAGCCTCATTTTTGCGCAATCATCTTTTGGGAGGAAGCAGGTTGATAGAGGGAAAAAACATGGGGATTTCCACTTGGGGTTGGCAAGAAAAATATGATGGGGAAGTAGTACCCATCAATACTGTGGCAATTTATAAAGAAAGGTTAATCCTGCTATGTACTTCAAAAGACAGCTTTGCTTGCCTGAACCGAACTTTTTTTGGGAGGCCTACAAAATAAAATTAACAAAGGTGCAATGTATTCCTAATAACTGCTGGCAGTTAACTCTAATTCTTCCATTTTTGCATTCTCACAGATGCAGCATCTCCAACATGGGAGCAGCTAGAAAACGCCATGGTGGCTGTTAAGACGGTTGTCCATGGTCTTGTAGATTTCATCCAGAACTACAGCAGAAAAGGCCCTGAAACTCCACAGGTTGGTTGTTCAGACTGGATTTGTAGTAACATAGCGGTGAGATTTGATCCTCAAACAGACTTGTAAAACAGCTAATGGGGTTAAAACTAGGTAATGTCACACACACACACACACACACACACACACACACAAATTGCAGAGGACTCTCTGTGATTTAATTTTTTTTTTTTTTAATGCCTGGTTTAACTTTCATCCTTCATTATTTGGCAATTGTGGATGCTGAAATCCAACATATCAGAAGGCCACCAGCTTGGGAAAACCAAGTCTGGATTCTGCTCCTTGGTTCAGTGCTTTACATCAGTCTTTTCTAACCTGGAGGTCATTTCCTAGAATCCTCTGCAATGACCATGCTGGATGGGGAATTCTGGGAGTTAAAGTTCACACAACCGGAGGGCAGGCTGGGGAAGGGATGGCAGGTTCCTCATTGTTGTTCCTCCTTCACCATCTTGCCCATTTGCCATCCTGCTCCCGCTGCTGTTAAGGCCAGCAGTCCCCCGTGGTGGGGTGCCACGTGGTTCTCCGTGGCAGAGATAGCCGGGTACAAGGAGTTGGCAGTGCTGTTTTCACTTCTTTCCTCTCTTGTCTCAAAAGCCGCAGCCAAACAGCAAGTACAAAACCAGCATGTGCCGCGACCTGAGGCAGCAAGGCGGGTGCCCGCGCGGGACCAACTGCACCTTTGCTCACTCGCAGGAGGAGCTGGAGAAGTAAGTCTCGTGGGCTCCAAGAGAAGATGCAGCCTCTGTTTCTCTTTCTGAACATCTGCCCGGGGGGCTGACTTCAGCGTGGCAGCCTTGATCCGTTCAAAAGGGGTCTCCCATCCACACGAACACAAGCCCAATTCAACAAATGGGTTAAAAAAAACAACAAAGCAGGTCCTTAAAATGCAGAGCGAGTACATTTCATGCGGCATGTCTAAAATCAAGCGTATTTTAAATGTTAAGCTTAAAGACACCTGTTGGACACTAATGGAATCTTTCTCAAATCACGTCACCCCGTCTTTCTTCCACTTTGACGTAGGAGTCCAGATGTAAGTTCAATACATTTGAGTCTGAAAAATGAAAACTGCAGGTTTGGGGAGGGGGTGCCTAGGTTGTTCAGGTCCCCTGGGGAAGAAACTGTCTGGCTTTTGGGGGCAGCCATGGTTGTTCCCACATACCCAAATTGTCCTTCAGTAGTTCTGTTTCTGAGAGGTTTACATAGCTGAAGGAGCCAGCTTATTTCCAGATTCTTGGCTCTGTCAGAATGCAGCTTTTCGGATTTGACAGGAGCTCTGCGCTCTCCTCCCCGGTAACTGTAGGTATCGGCTAAGAAACAAGAAGATCGGTGCCACCGTGAGAACCTTCCCTCTGCTTGGAAAAGCCAGCCTCGCAAGTACCATCCCCCCCGCAGTGGGGAATGTCATTTCCATCATAGGCAACACGGATCCGGCGGGGAAGACCGCGTCAAGTCCCAATGGGAGCACCAGCCCAGAGAGCGGCGTGCCCCAGCTGATTCCCCGCTGCGCCAACACTGCTTCATTACGGACTCTGGAGCACGTGAAGAAAGGGGGGAAAGCCGGGACCAATGGCCAGAATCCTTCTGGGTCTCCCACAGAGCCTCTGCCTGAACAGTACGTTCTGGGGTTGGAAAGGGAGGCCCCTCGGAGCAGGGCATGCCTCCTCTGGGGTGGCCCCTTCTGATGCCTTACGCTTGGCGGGTCAGTCTGAGAAATTGATCTCCCATTGCCTGAATCAGTTTCATCCCAGCTCATCCTGTGCCTTTTTAAATCAGATGGCCGCAGCCCTAATTTGATCTTTCTCTTTCTGATTCTTCCAGTAAAATCGGCTCCCCTCCAAAAACTCCTGTCAATCAGACCGCAGCTACCTCAGCCGGCCCCCTTCCTCCCCCTCCTCCCCTTCCTCCCCCTCCTCCTCTTGCTGGCACCGAGATGAGCCCCATCACCCCCAAATCCAGCCCTTTCACCACCCGAGTGCCCATCTACCCAGCTCACTCAGACAGCCTTCCGTATTTCCAAGATCCCCGGGCTCACCTCTCCTACGAAGCTGCACCCTACCCGCAAACAGGTGAGTGTCCGGCTCAGAGAATAGCAAGGGCACTACAGTGAAAGAAGGACTGTTGTTTACAGCGTCAGAATAGGCCAAGAGGGTGGTGGGAAACTGAATTCATGATCATAGCTTCGTTTCTTCTTCCTTAGCAAATTTGGCAGAAGGGGTCCTTTTCTGTGGTCTAGCTTAAGTCACAGAACTCAGTTCCCTAAATTTCATCAGTGCTGTACCTTCTGATTCCTGCTAACTCCAGTGGGATCCTTTAAAGTGTCTGAGACAAACTAATGTTCTGGTTTTATTTTTTATTTTTTTTAACTGCATCCTTTTTCTCCTCCCCATAAAAAGGAGTTGCTCTAAAGTACATCAGAATATAAAACCTAATAGTCAGATGACTCATAAACATGGGGAATAGTTGTTGAAACATAGGAAGGATTTAAAAATAAATATTAAACCATGCTTCAGTGGAACTTAGAACTGGACTAGCCGTCAGTAGGAATGTTGAGTTATCCCAGGATGTAAGAAATCCGGACAACTTGCAGGGAACCAGGAAGTGTACGTCCTGGTTCTTGCTGGTTCCTTCTGCCCTGTGGATTCTGCTTGGCTTCTCTTGTTCTGTTCTGACTTCGAGGTGTTCTCCACCGAGATTTCCAGCAATTTTCCTTCTGCCTGTGCCAACCTGGCTCAGGCAGAGCTCGACTACGCTTTTTGTTCTGTAGGATACTATCCGGCACCCCCAACGGTCCCTGCTAGTGTGCCTCCGTGCCTCCCTCGCTTTGTGAGGTCCAGCAGCGTCTCCGAATCCCCTCTCCCGCCTGCCTCGGTACCATACAGTGAACATTACAGCACGTTTCCATCTCGGGACAGACTGACTGCCGCTTACCAGCAGGCGCAGGCACAGCCATATGGGCCGGTCCCCCCGGTCCCCTCTGGGATGTACGCACCGGTTTACGACAGCCGGCGTATTTGGCGGCCGCCGATGTATCAGAGGGACGATATCATCCGGAGCAACTCTTTACCTCCCATGGAAGTCGCCCACCCCTCTGTCTACCAGAACTTTCTGCGGGAAAGATACAGCTCTGTGGACAGCTACTGTTCGGTGCCCTGCCAGTTGCCAGCGGAGCAGAGGGCCGTGCCTTGGTCGAGGGTAGGTGCTCCAAAGCTTAGCAGGGAACTGCTCAAGGTGACCGCCTCTTCTCTGCCTTCCCAAGAGACTGAGGGCTTTACAGTGCTGGGAGCTTTCCTTCCTTGGGTGGAGGCTCTGAGGCTGCTCTTGCTCTTGCTGCTCTTTCGAGGCGTTGACAGGGTCTGTTTTTGCTGTTTATATATTTGTGTATGTTAGTAAGTCGGTGTGCGTAGGGCACCATGAACTGCATGGAGGGAAGCTTGAATATTCAGGTTCTTGGAAGAGGGAGTGTGCCAGTGTTTTGCTTTGGTCCTTACTTTGTGGTCACCTGGGGGCAGTAGGGGTAGGCAGCGGCAAAGTGCAGGGCAGCCAAAAGAAAAGAAATGGGGGGAAGATGGGCGGGGGGAGTTGAAGCACACACTGCAACGTAAGTGTGGACGGGCTGCCAAGCGCCTGAGTTCTGAGCATGTGTCCGTGGGGGGACTGCAACAGCCGTAACTTCAAGGACCAGCCATAACTACCATTCATTCAGCACCGTTGTAACTTTGCACAGTGCTGAACAAATGGTCATTAAGCAAGGACTACCTGTTGTTCTTGAACTCAATGTGAGCTGTAGCGAGTTTGTTGAGTGTTGCTTGGCCTTCAGACACACAACTTGACCTTCCTTTTAGGAACCTTGCGGCCACCTGAAGCCTGCTTACGATGACCCTCTCAGAAGGAAGCCAGAACAGTGGGCTCCTTGCCACACCCCGAAAATGCCCCTCGTGACTTCTGCTCTTCCTGCAGCTACACCCTCTCCATCATCACCTTCTCCTCTCTTCGGTGTGGACTTCGGCTCTGAAGTAAGGCCCCGGAGCCTCCGGGTGGGAGGCAGGCTGGGAGGGAAGGACCCTTGCGCCTGGCAGCTTGCCTGTCCTTTTTTTCTTCCTCGGGCCTTTCTCAAAAGGGCTCTTCCTATTAACTCCAACTAGCTGGTAACCCCTCCCTGCTGCTTTGAAGACCAGGAACATGGGCTTTTAGGAGAGGACGTTTACCCTTCTTTCCATTCCCTTTTGCAGCCTTGGAGCAAGTGATACTTAGCCTGGGGAAAGGACCCTTTGTGAATAAACATGTCCTCATTCCTATTCCCTTCTTCCCCTGTACGGTCAGATTGTTTTCCTTTTCTCTTTCATTCTGCCCGTAACTATCCTTCTGTGGCTCCAGAAAGTAACCCAAGGCCGACCTGGGTCGTATCTATAAAGTGGTCAGGAATTTTCTCCTGCTTCTTGCAGTTCAGTGAGAACTCCAGCAGCTTGAGCAGCACGAAGTATGAGGACGACCAGCTTTGCCATTACTCGCCTTGGTCCTGCGGCACCATCAGCTCATGCATCAGCGCGGTTGAGTCTGAACCCAAGGACGTCTTGGCTAATTCCAGCACGGTGCTCCTAGTAAGGCTGTTCAGGGGCGTTACGGTGGGGTAGCCTAAAGCGATCCTGGGACTCTGGAAGGATCCTTCGGAGCTGGTGTTGCCGTGCCCCTCTCAGCCTTCCTTTCCACGCAGGATCTGGACAGCGGAGACCCCAAGAGGCAGGTGCACCTCTTTGAAACCCAGAGGAAGGCCAAGGAGGAGGACCCCATCATCCCTTTCAGCGACGGGCCAATCATCTCCAAGTGGGGGGCCATCTCCAGGTCGTCGCGGACAGGCTACCACACCACGGACCCTGTTCAGGCCACTGCTTCCCAAGGAAGCGCTACCAAACCCATCAGCGTGTCAGGTGGGGGCAGCACCTCGAAGGGGGCGCGGAGAGGAGTGGGGCAAGGCCCCCGCTGAGCTGAACCTGACCCTTGGCCTCTTTACAGATTACATCCCCAGCGTCAGCACGGTGGACTTGAGGTGGGGCTCCTACACTTCAGATTCTACTTCCTCAGCGCCTTTCGCAGAACGGTAGGCAGGCCGGACGTCCTGGACAGATCTGGCCCTGCCTGAGCTCGGGCCGCAGGTTCCTTGAGATCACAGCTGACCCTGAGAGGCGCTCCAGCTGCGCCCACAGAGGGCCCTCTTGCAGACCCGTCTGGTGCCGAACGCCACCCATGAGGCTCAGCCTTCCCTTTCCTCTCTTTCAAGGGACCGCTTCATTGCTGCTGACGGATCAGCCCCAAGAAAGCATTCGAGTACCGGGGACCTCCTGAGTATTGAGTTGCAGCAGGTACAGCTTTGCCTTCCGAGCCGGATAGTTCAGGAAGAGCGATTTTGGGGGCAGGCAGACAGGCATGCCTGTGGCCCTTGGAGCAAAGGGCAGCCTCCAGATTGCTGTGGGGGATGTGGCTCTGGGCAGGGAGATTGCAGCCGTCCCCACTGAGCATTCTGAGGCTTGCTCTGCTTTTCCACCCAGGCCAAAAGCAACTCGATGCTGCTGCAGAGGGAGGCCAACGCCCTTGCCACGCAGCAGAAATGGAGCACCTTGAGGGAAGGCAGTCCCCTCGCCTTGAAGCTTTTAAGCAAGGAAATGGAGCTGAGGAATGGCGAGGTCAGGGGGCTGGGGCATTTTCCCACCGCACGCCCCCTGCACCAGGAGGTCATTCTTTCTAATATCCGTTGTGTTTTCCCTTTCTTCCCTGCTCCCCAGGCTGACTACCCCGAGGACGGTGCGGACCCCAAGTCTGACCGAGACATTGAACTAGAGCTTTCAGCCCTTGACGCTGATGAGGCCGAGGGGCAGGGAGAGCAAATGGAAGTACGGAAAGAGTTCTCTTGATTCTACCCACACTTCTCTCCTCAGACATCTAGAGCAGGTAGCAGTCCTTTTCCGTTTGGTGGATAGCGTCCTGCATCCAGGACCGCAGTTCCTTACAAGGCTGAGCTCAGTCAAGAGAAAATAAGGTAGCACGAGGTTGTCAGAATATTTTTCCCCCTTCTTGGGTTGGTAGTAACACCCCCAGGGTCTATTGTTCGCTTTCTGAACAGAAAAGCTGCTCCGACGGTCTCACACCCGCTTCAATGCACCCGTGTCCACCTACCTGGTTCAGTGTCTAACTGGCCAGGCTGAGTTTGAGTTCTAGAAGAATCGGGGGCAGAAGCTGCGGGGGGGCAACATTCTGCTTGAAGCAGTACAGTTCCCTTCCAGTTTGATCTCTTCCGACGAGGGCGGGCTGGTCCCTCCCAGCCCTTTTGCATTTTGCCCCCCCCAATCCAGTTCATATAGAGACCAGCAGCTGTTTACTGCTCTGCGTCAGCTGAAATCTATCAGAACAAGCCTCTGTGGCTGCTTTGAGGGAATCTCACAATCCCAGGGAATGCTTTTTTCCCCTCTCTGTAGGATTTTGATCCGGAGGTGGGAGTTTCAGGGCACATCTTCGCCCCCACTCGCAATTTCTCCAAGAGGGATGGCGACCCCAATTGTAACTACCACGTGTGATTATCCTTTTCCTTCCTTCTCCAGGAGAGGCCGGGCCTGCAGCTTGGCATTAGCGATCAAACCGACAACCTCTTCAGTGGGTCAGCTCTGGAGAACGGCCGCCCCGTGGAGCAGCCCCAGGTGGACCCCAGGCAGCCAAAGAGGCCTCTCCTGCACGAAGACCTGGCTATTCTGTGAGTGTGAGACAAAATGGCAGTCTGGCTCAAGGCTCAGGGCAAAAGCTTTCCTGCGTGAGAGTCTTCATACGCGGTCTTCCTGTCCCTTGTGCCTTCCTTGCCGTGGGTGGAGCTTCTCATTATCTGATTCCTGCTTTCTTTCCCTCCCTCCCTCTCTTGATGGTGGTAGACCCCAAACCATGGTTAGATATCAGTGCTGACCCACGTCCTATATTTTCACTAGGTCCTTACTTATTTAGTCACGTGCATAGCCTACAACCTGCAAAAAACTAAACACTATCCGCTTAGTACAGTGTTGTCCAAACTTGGCCACTCTAAGATGAGTGGACTTCAACTCCCAGAATTCCCCA